GGATCTTGCTTGCCTTTTTTTCCCTTTCTCTTTCTTTTTTTTTTTTTTTTTTTTTTTTTTTTTTTTTTTTTATTTGTTCCTCTCTTTCTTCGTATGTTACGCGCGCGTACAGATGGTAGAAATACACCACGTAGATTTTCTATTTTTTTTTGTGCGAAATTCGTTTGCATCAAACATAAAGAAATTACGTCAGAGATCTTTTTTTTTTTTGTAATTGCTATGAGAAATCGAATAAATTGCGATTTATTATTATTATTATTATTATTTTGACAGTATAAGACTGCGTGGAGGAGGAGACTGCGCAATCCGCGCACGTATATTTATTTCGAAATCTCGAAACGCAACAAAACGGATTCCATTACTATCTCGCAGCCTTGTGACTATCGCTGAATGTATGCGCGCGCGTCGATAATCTGTTCGCCGATAATTTTACGCTTCACAGACGGATTATAGCATGAAGGCAGCGCATTAGAAAAATGACCACTCGTCGGTCTAATTACAATATTTTTTTTGCGCAAGCAATGTCCGCGCTATTTTCTCTTAATAAAACGGAAAGCGTTTCATCGTATGCTTGATGTTCGCGCATCCGCAATCGCGCAACAAACAACGAAGCTATAATATGTTTAATAGCGGCGACAACAACGAGAAGTTAACGTTAACTGTCGAGCCTTGTATGTATGTGCTAATATCCGAATGTATCATTTGCGAAACAAAGACAAATTTTTTGAAACGAGATATATCTCATTGCCTTATATTTTGAGTCAATTATCGCGTGCAAGGTCAATGCGAACGACGCTGACCGTAACGACATGTAATTTCGTCAAGACTCTAATCTGAGAAACAACAAGTTCCCAAGCCGAAGGAACAGAAATCGCAACTTATTTAACGATACACGTGACTATTATGTAAGATATATTCGATACATCCTTTCCTAGCGCGTAATGTAACTGTGTTCTAATGACCGGACATCTATTAAAAAAATAATTATTAGACGTGTGATTATCAGTTTTAAGATGTCCGATCGTTAGAGCGTTTATTTAAAAATCTCGGAATTTTTCCGATTAAATTTTCAAATACAAATTAATTAATTTAAAAAAATTTATTCTTTATATATCAAACCAAAAATTGAAGCATCGTACTTTTGCTCGTAGTGTTGGAATACGTGGGACCCAAATGGCGCACCTTCGTGGCGAACATGTCGATCGCGCTGTTCTTCACGTTCGCCGCCTGTATTCTGCCCTGGATCGCGTACTTCCTGGCCGACTGGAGAATGACCTGCATCGCCATTTCCGTTCCCCTGGCTCTGGCGATCGCGGCGCCGTGGCTGGTGCCGGAGAGCGCGAGGTGGCTCGTCAGTCAAAATCGCGTGGAGAAGGCGATCGAGATCCTGGGTAAATTCGAGCGCATCAACGGCACGAAGGTGCCCGAGAATGTTTACAAGCAGTTTCGCGTAAGAGTCTCGACTTGGTTTATTTTCTCTGTATATCCATATATTTCCTTCAAAGAAAATATTTCGTCGAATTTATCGATGAAACACTTGTTGACGATTTGTGAAAACTGCTGTTGTTGTTGATTGCGACACAGGAAACTTGCGCTCGGATGTGCAAGGAACAGGAAGCGGACAAAACTTACTCCGTGGTGGATCTGTTCAAGAGTCCGCGTCTGCGTAACATCACGATTCTTCTCATAATTATCTGGTGAGCTCGCCGTTCTGATTTTTTTTTCTCCTTTTTCAAACGTATATACCGCACAATGAAAAATATTTTTCTCTTCTTTTGTATTTTCAACAAAAAGTTATTGTAGTTTCAAGATGCACAAAAGAATACATATGCGACGTATTATAAAAGATATCGGTGTTCAGCGACTATAAAAGAGCGAAGGTTCTCATCCCGATTGTGCATATCGCAGGATGGCGATATCGCTGGTATTCGATGGCCACGTGAGAAACGTGAACAATCTCGGACTCGACGTTTTTATGACATTTACCGTCGCTGCGTTCACGGAACTTCCCGCCGATACGTTCCTCACCCTCGTCTTGGATCGATGGGGCAGACGATGGCTGGCTTGCGGCACCATGGTTATATCCGGCATCTTCAGCATATGGGCGTGCGCGGTTTCGAACAGTAAGTATATATGCGAAATCGCGCTCTTCTGTGACAAAAGCAGAATTTTATTTGTGTCAATTTTGCTCTCTTCAATTAGCATCTGTTTCCAAATGTTTTTTTTTATATCCTGATTTTTATGTTTTATTCATTTATTAACGAAAACAATTCCCGCGCATGAGATATATAAAAAAGTAAATAATTAACGCAGCAAATAATTAACACAATATTGTACGCTTTTTGTTTTTTTGTTTTTTTCTATTATTTTTTTCTGCTTCACCTTGTACATGATTTTTTAAATCTTTACTTTTGTGTCATATAGATTGTTTTCAACGTTTTCAGATATTTATTCGGCCACGCTGGCGATCGTCGGCAGATTCTGGGTGAACATTTCGTACAACATCGGTCTTCAGTACGCGGCCGAGGTATTGCCGACGGTTGTGAGAGCTCAGGGAGTCGCTTTGATCCACATAATGGGATATGTCGCCAGCATCCTCGCGCCGTTCGTCGTCTATCTTGACGTGGTCTCGTCGATATTGCCGTTATTGCTTCTCGGAATCATAGGCGTTTTCGGCGGCCTTCTAACGCTTTTCCTGCCGGAAACGCTTGACAAAGATTTGCCACAAACCTTGCAAGACGGCGAAGACTTCGGAAAGGATCAGAAGATGTGGGATATGCCGTGTCTCTCGAAGTCAGTGTCAAAACTTGATTACTTCGATTTCCCGTCACAAAATGTTGCGCAATTTTTTTCGATTTTGGTTTTCCTTTCCATATGATTTTTCTATATATTCATATTTTTTGCAACTTAAGGCACTTATTATTTTTCTTTTTTTTTACAATTCTTTCGTATTTTTAGCGTCCTTTTATAATTTTTGTTAACATATGTTTCCAAGCTGAAAACGATCAAAACTTGATCGTTTAATTTCTCAACTTATTTCCTTTTCCGTGACTTTTCCGCTCCTCCTGTCTCGTGTTTTTACTTTGGATTTTAAGTTTCGCAAGGAGCAACATTAAATTTTGTGAATTAATATATATATATATTTTTTTTTTCAGGAAAAAGCCCGTAGACGCGGAAATGCCACCGGTGGTCACGATTCAACGATCGTTTACACGTAATAGTCTACGAAGTTCGATGAGAGCGTCCACTCGCGGCGAGACCTTGAGAAGCAGCATGATACAAAGATCGAGCATAAGGTCACGGAAAAGCGTGAACGCGGCCATGGAAGCGGAGACCAAGTGAAAGCTATACGGTTACGACGTAACTCTCCGCGATTTTCAGCATTTTGTGTCATTCTGTCTTCCTATGCATATAATATTTTCCGCAGAATCATGTGATATGTCAGAGCTATCAAAATCAAATTACACCTGTCGCCCATATTTATATATATCAAAATTTTTAACGTTTCTTAGGATTGTGATTTAAAAAAAAAAAAAAAAAAAAAAACGAAGAACGAGGTGCGTTTTTCAATTCTCTGCGTTATTTAGCAGAAGAGAGATAAGTATACGAGAGAGTAATATACTACATCTGTATACGTATGATATTTTAACACGGTAGAAGATTAAAAATGTCAATCGGAACTTAATTTGGTTACGTTCCGACGCCGAAATGAAAAAATTGGAAGAGAAGCGTCAATTAGAACTTATCCAAGTTGAGATCTGAACTTGTATTGTCATTCCTGTACTGTGATATATATATATATATATATATATATATTTTGTGTCACAGAATCTTTCTGTAACTTCCATTTTATTATATTTTCGATTCGGAGATGTGCGATGTCTCCGAACTCTCAAAGATTTCGAACACGTATGAATAGATAAGAACTTCAAGAGCACAACAATCATGTAAAAAAAAATATTATATACGTATTAAATGTAAATTTATATATTTCTAAGTTTCTAGTGTGTGTGCATCTTAGATTGATCAAGTTTCGTCTCTCACACTCTATATATGTATATGGGTGTATATATATATACAATATACAGGGTGTCCCAGAATAGCCGTACAATCTCTCGTAGGCAGATAGAAGGAATAAAACTGAGTCAAAAAGTCCTGAACCATTTTTTTCTATTATTTATAATAAAGGAGTAATTATTGAGTAAATCAGGCCAATCAGCGCCGATCTTTAGCCAGGCGCACGTCAGTAAGCGCTCACAAACACCAGGCGCGCGGCTCACTGACGTGCGCGTGGCTAAAGGTCTGCGCTGATTGGCCCGCTTTACTCAATAATTACTCTTTTATTATAAATAATAGAAAAAAATGGTTCAGGACTTTTCGACTCAGTTTTATTCCTTCTATCTGCCTACGAGAGATTGTACGGCTATTCTGGGACACCCTGTATATATACATATATATATATATATATATATATATATATAATTGCTCACACATGTATAATGTACTATAATGTACACACAGGGTATTGTATTTATTGTGAGACAAATTATATGCTTGTATTCCTGTTCCGCTAAAAAAAAGAATATTAAAAAATATTAAAGATATAAAACCTATCAAGGAACAGTCGTGCATAGTATCAAGCATGTTTCTTAAAACATAACGTTGCGTCAATTTTCGATGATTTACACTGCTTCCGAATATTTACGCGTGATTGTTGACGTTATGTGAGAAATTATTTCCTTTGAGTAAAACCGTCAAGGTTCGAGATTGAATTTTGCAGGTTGAGAAAAAAATGTTCAATTTTTCAAAAAAAATTGAGACAACCTCATGTTTTCCGTTTCGAATGACGAATACAGATAATCAGATAGATTTTATTGTGATAAAGGAACGCGCGTCTTCTTTTCTATCGCGAGAAACATTTATTTTTAAAAAATGTTTTTGCTAAAATTCAGACTATTTTATCGATTTATGTGTACATAATGCATATTTTGTAACATAATAAATAAATAAATAAAATACACATATATGTGAATATTATTATTCGTCTTTTCTCTTCTCTCTATCTTTCCGCTTCATCTACTAGGCTCTGCTCTTATCTTTTTGACAGAACGCAATAGCTGTACGAGATTCGAAGTTAAGCGGATTCTTCAACGAATTGTCTGTCTTGAGTGGCGCATTTTGCTCAGAGAGTTAATTTCACTTCAGACACAAAGACTAAAAGACATTTTAAAAAACATGTCTAAAAGACAATAAGACGTTTTTAAATCGTCTTTAAGTCGTCTTTTGGAGACATGTGCTGTCTGAAACTCTATCGATCGAAGGTATACTTCACTTTGAAGGTATACTTTCGCCAGCACTTCGAGCAAGATTGGTCTCTTTTCCTCTCGTGCTTTTGATTATTGCTGTACTTTACTGACCGACATTACTGGAGACTATAACTCGCGTTTGCAGAGATTTTTAAACATCTGCGTTAGATTTATTTTTGTTTTTTAAACTGAGTAAATATACGTCACGCCTTATTTCCATAATCTTCGTTAGCTCAAGATCAGATCCAGAAGATCTTTCTTACTTTATTGGCTGTTTGGTCTATAAAATACTAGAAACTTGCAGACCACAAGTGTTACTCAGCTCTTTTGTCTTGTCGGGCGTGATAATAGTCGGCGTAATACGAGAGCATTGCAAAATGAGCTTGTTCTTCCTCTGTATCCGGACCGAGCTGTTCAGGAGTTAAATTTCAAATGTGTTTCTGTGGATATTTGAAGATACAGTATTTTTTTGCAAAGAGCGCAAATAAAACTATCTAATCTAATCTAAAACTAACTATGTTATCTAATCTAATCTAATCTTCACATATGTACACAAAGCGTATATATAATTGCTATAACTCGTATATCACTCAACAAATGAGAGGAAATACTATTATCTGTTAACGGTAAGCTATCAACAGCTTTCTAATTATAATGTAGTCGCGGATGAGAGACTCACGTTAATTCAATATCCTGCTATTATACCTTCGTCTCGTTATAAATAATTGACTTGACAAGTTTCTGATATCGAAACGGTATGAGACATCTGCAGATCCCGTTATCGATAAGCGGCTTATGTTATATTATTTCCTGTACACATATACATACATATAGATGACATATCTATTAAACGTTTGTAGTACAAACGTTTGTGCATATTGTACGAATTTACATGTATATATTTATATTTATTATTTATAATAATTTTATTTAAACAATGCGTCACAGAATCGCAATATCTGATCTTGTTATTAGGTATATAGAATTTTCTTGTGAGATTAGTAAACTTCAAAATATAAAACACAATTAACCATCATCGTATTTTGATTGACACAACAAGCTTGTGACAATGTTAAAATACGGTTGTCAAGACCAATGTGAGCAAAATTACAGGATGGAAGTGTGAAAAACTTCACATTTATTAAACAAAAAAAGTCTAAATTCAGACGTTTCGATTCTGTAATTGGATTACATGATCGTATTATTTTTCTTTTATACGCGGTTAAATTCTAAAAGAGCCGTGTACGGTTCGTGTACAATTTATATATAATTGTTAATTAATTTAATAAATTTGATTTTATACAAACACCTTATTCTCGATTGAAATTATTTCAATTACTTGTCGATTCTTCTGTGTGCATCAAAGTAGTTAAGTAGTTTTAAAATACACATTGCAAAAACTTATATTTGATCTCGTACACTTTATAGTTTATCCAAATCGAATTTGCGACAAAGCGACTAGTCAATGAAAAAAAAATTAATCAAGCACTCGTCAAATTGATCGCGACCAACATAGTGAAGTTGAAACAGCGGCCAATGAAAAAAACATTTGAGAGATCGCAATCTCGTTTAGTTCTATTTCTGACACGCGAGTTTCTGAGTGCCACGAATCGTGCAAGCAGCGTCGTTTTAATAGCGTGTCGGACTATCGTCCATACGGAGCGGAGTCGGTGCGAGACGATGCAACCGCGATGCAACCGCGAAAATGGCAACCGGTTCGCGCGACGAGCATTATCCGCGACAATATTTTTACGAGTGGAAATATTCGTTTAAGAAACTAAATAATTACGTTGCACGAAATAACGATAATTACAAGATAAGCACGCGCGATCGTAAAAGACCGACCGCGTAATTCTGTACCGAGTGTGTCTCAACCGCAATATGGATGTCAACCGGGGTAAGTGCAGAGCGCTTTAAGCTTTGAGAGATTGTAGATATTTGCTTGTATTCATTTCATCTAAAAAAAAAAAATACTAGCGACGTCTCGTCTCATTTGTGTAATTTTTTAAATGTGAACATTTTTTTGGGAACAATTTTGTGTATGCAATTATCTTATCGGCGCATGTAACCTAACGGAGAATCGGTCAAAAGTTTATCGTTATACGAATAAAATGTACACGAGATCGATTCGTGAGAGAGAAAAATTCGAGATAGCGCAACATTTCGGGACATTGTCCTCTTGCCCAACTCATCTCCGCAGTAGATATTTTTCCTAGTACATACTCTCCTCTTTTTTCTTCGAGCTCACGCGGATTCTTCTTATATTGACTCATTCATATACATATATGACCACTACTACTACTACTACTACTACTATGTTACTATGTGCCATCATATTTCGCGTGTCGAGTTCGTATATCAACGTACTCGAACGGATTCTCTCTTCATACTGTGTCTTGAGCCTCGCGGCAAAACTTCGTTATTATAGTCGTCGTTGTCGCCCAAGAGCGATCGTTGGTGATTCGATTCCACGGTCATCGGTTAATCGGTCCTAGGTGTGTGATATCGCAAATCGATAGATTAATGTTTCTTTTTTTTTGCGAAGTATAGCGCATTGTATATTTATACATGCAAATTATACCGAATCATTAATATTCACAGTCGCGACATATCTCTCTTAACAGCTTCTGTCGGTGAAAATTTTTTCTTGTTACTTTTTTTTTTTGGTTCTCATGACTCTGTTTTTTGGTTATTTAAATATCACGGTCGTTTTGTGTTTCGCGATTTACGTTTTTACGGTGACGTACTCGTGAGGTGAGTGCACTCCGACAGCCGAGATTTTAAAAGAATTTTTAACACTTGCGTTGTGATTTTAGCGAAAAAAAAAAAAAAATGGATTTCTACAGAAATTGGTGTCCGACTCGCTTCGAATAAAAAATAAATTACAAGTAAATATTATCTTAAAAACACACTGAGCACAAAAAAATTAATATTAAAAAAAAATTAATATTATATTTTATTAATATCATATTAATATTATATTATTTTATACGATAATAACTGGCAAAAAAAAAATTTTTAAATTATTTTATTCTAACGTTTGAGCTGACATTGATAAGTTTAACTTTTAATCAATTTTAGAGTTTGTATTTTGAATGTAACATTCAAGTTAACAAATGTACGTTAAATAATATTTATCGTTAAACAATATTTATGTCAGCGAATATCGTTAATTAATAATATAAATTGTTATAATTTCTGTAGGAGAGCGACATTTTTGTGATGCGGCATTATTTTTCTGTAGAGCGTTACTTTTTCTCGTTATTGCATTATCGACTTCGGTAAAAAGTAGTACACATTTATACATATCTCAACATGACGAACTTGTTAATTACGTCGTCTTCATCCGCGAGAAGTATCAGGGGCTTTGGGTCACTGTCAGACTTAACACTTGCTTTATACATAATGATATGTTATGATTGAGTATATAAAGAGTATTAATCAGAGTAGAATATTTAAAAAGTTTCTTCAATCGTTCTTAGAATATATTACTATTTGTTACTATTAAGACATTTATGTACACACAACTCTCGCATACTTATCTCATTTTTTCTCAATAAACGCGTTAATTCGTTTCTAAAATTCTATAGTGCGTGTAACGTACGCTACATGCTAGATACACTGCTTGCGCGCATTTGAATAAGTCGCGTGTATCAATAAAAATGCGGCCGATATGAATACATAAATTTAGTGGAAATGTTCGAAAACTTGTTAGATAAAGAAACAACTTCGTGGAAATTTAATAATATGTTAATCGTATGTATGCAGATTCGCGTTGTGCATGCTCTACAGTCGCATGCGGCAATATATTTATTTATAGAAGTCACATTTTTATATAGTATAACAAAAGATCGATAATATCAAACAGGAGACCGGCCCAGCGGTCTCGCGGCCTGAATGCGAACGGGGAAGTCCCGATTCCGCGCAACGCCTCAACATTTTTTCTGAGCCGGTTCCCTTCAATCGAGTCTAACGATTAAACGACGAACTGAATCGAGCCTCCGTTAAAATTAATTCGAGAGAAATCTCGAATTTAATTTGTCTCTCAAAAAAACGGTCGATCGCATCAACTCTAGCGCGAGCTTGACGTAGAAGGTGGTGCGCTCTCTGGTCACTAAACACACATGCGTGTGTGTATGTCTATAGAGAAACTATCGTGTTTACACAAATATTTCGTAAAAATCGTCTGTCTCGCGAAAACTTTTACGAACAGCAAATTTTTATTCTTTTCGAGTTTATATCTTTATACTTGTTCCGTATAAACGGATTCTCCCGCCCTGATACCGCGAGAAACATACTTTATTGTCTGTCCGTTCCATTGGAAAAAATTTTCCGTGATTTATCACGTGAACTTATTTTTTTTTCGCGATTCGTCGCGCAACTATCGTTACGATACTTGCAACCTATTTGTCATTAAAACTTTCAATATATCGCGTTTCAAGTACACGTATTGTTTTCAAGTATATGTATTAAAACGTTAGTGTGTTTATTTATACTTACATTTTGTTTCGGCTCGCTATAGTATTTCACCGTTATAATCAGCGAAACTGTCGAACAATAACTGTTAAAAATAAAAAAGCATAAATAAATTATACATACATATGTGGTGAGATAATATAATAATGCGTAATGGTAATAATGGAACATTACTGTCTCGAATATCGCTAATTGCACGCCGGTACCGATGGTCAAACTGATCTCATCTTCATAATTGTTTTGATTGAAAGGCGCGGTAACAAACCACTTGATCCCATCGTGTCCGAAACACAACATTGAACAACTCGCAATTGCGTCTATTTAAATTGTCGCTCGGACACTCGCCATAATGAAACACTCGAGCCGAACTCGGACTTTGGACCGACGAGATCTTGCAGTCCACGGCGTGTCCACGGAATGTATTCGTTTTTATCAGAAATTCGCTTAATTTAGCTTGAGTTGTGCAATTTGCCGCAACATTGTAAAGCAAGGTCGAGTTGCATCAGCCGAATTATACGATTATTTTAATTTTATTCGCTTGACAAAGAATAAATAATCGTATAATCGTGCGCGTGTCTTTTCAATGTTCCTCAGAACAATGAAGAATTCCAATGGCGTGGTGGGAAACGGTAACGTGGATGTCACAGGCCCGAACGAAACCACCACGTTGAGACCCAAGCTGGAGACCTTCGACGATATTCTACCGTGCGTCGGCGATTTCGGCAGATACCAATGGCTGCTTTTACTGGCACTGCTGCCTTACAGCGTGGCTTATTCGACTCTGTATTTCTCGCAATTTTTCCTCACCCTGGTACCGCAGGAGCACTGGTGCAGGATAAACGAACTGGTGTCTTCGAATCTTACACAAGACCAAAGGTAATATAAACTCGTTTCCCCCGTAAATATTGTTTCTTACAAACTTGTTTTTTTTTTTTTATAAAAATTGCGCGCATTGATCGTATGTGTTTTGAAAAGACGTTTTTTTTCATACATTATATGATTTTTTATACATCAATGATATCTAAATTGTTTAGAGTAGAGATCGGAATTCCAAAGTCTCCGAATTATCCGTATTACGATCGATGCCATCGAAAGGACTTGGACTTTTCTCTCGTGTCAAGTCACACGAAGGAGATTCGCTCGAGCGACTGGAAAACGAACAAAACCGTGAGCTGTAGCCAATGGGAATACAATTTCACGCAGATTCCTTACGCCAGCATAGCGGCTGAGGTGAAGTATCCTTGAATATCGTCACACCGATACGTACATAAAGAACGCACGAAGAATTAAGCTTCGCGAGCACTTCCGCTAGCAATAATCACTTGCGCTTAATTGCGATCGCAATCAATCTTGCGCAATGCCAGTCAGTTTGATTGCGGTAAAAAAAAAAAAGAAAGAAATTGCACGCGTGTTATTCGTACAAATATATATGCATAACAAACAAATCAAAAGTGCATTTGCAAGCGGATTGCGTAAAAAACCAAAACGATGTGAAACATCACGGACTTCACAGAGCGTTTCTCAAACTGAATACTTTGTAATTAGCTAGATTGGGTATGCGACCAAGAATACCTCATCTCGACGGCACAGTCGATCTTCTTCTGCGGCTCGGTCGTCGGCGGTTTTCTCTTCGGCTGGATCGCCGATCACAAGGGACGAATTCCCGCACTGATACTATGCAACGGCGTCGCTCTGCTCGCGTCGATCGCGACCGCGAGCGCGAACACATTTTGGTCTTTCGCCGTCTGCAGATTTCTCACCGGTCTCGCCTTTGACAATTGCATTAACATTCCGCTGATTATCGGTAAGCTGAGATTGCGATTTAAAATAAAATCATTTATGAAAATATTAATTAAATAATATATGAAAAAATATAATATCTCGACAGTGGTCGAATACATGGCTGTGAACCGACGAACCCTCGTCGTCAATGTCGCTTTCGGCGTGTACTTCGCGGTCGGAAGTACAATTTTGCCATGGATCGCGTATTACGTGGCAAACTGGAGATTCTTCGCGTACCTGACAGCGGTTCCGATGATGAGCGTGTTCGTAACACCGTGGATTCTTCCCGAAAGCGCTCGGTAAAAATCAATTTCTATCAATTTTCTTTACAAATAAAAAATTTGCGAAATAAATTTTCATAAAAGTGTCTTACGTTATTAAACAAATTGCTATAAATTTTTTATTGTGTAAAGTCGAAACAACTTTGCCGTGACGTGATTTTTGAAAAAGATTTTCGGACAAAGTACGATTGTTTTCCCAGTATTTACGCGTTCGCGCGACTATATTTTCTGAATAGAACATTGTGTTTCATTGTTAAAGATGGTTCGTCGCCAACGGCAAAATAGACAAAGTGGTGCAGAAACTACGGCGAATAGCGAAGATCAACAAGAGAAGTCCCGACGCGCGTATCTACGAAATCTTTGTCGTAAGTAAGACAAAAGACGTCGAGTCGACACACAACGCACGTTCTTTAAACTTACACATTGTGCAGTTTACATCTCAGCGAATTTCGCTTTCCAGCAAAATTTAACCGCATCCAACGGTCAAACGGAAAGCGCGACTATTTTTGATCTTCTGAAAACACCGCGTTTAGCAAAAAACGCCATTCTGATGATCTTCTTCTGGTGGGTACAATAATTATTGTTGTTAAGAATATAATTATTATTATAACAATTGGAATATTTCAAGTCCTTACCGAACCTATTTTCCGATCTATTTAATCGAATTCCAGACTAATTTGTAATCAATCTTATCTAAACAAATTTTTGTATGCAGTTGTGCGACAGTAACAATAATTTCAAATACTGGCCAGTTTCTCTAATCTCTGACCAGTTTTTTCCCGAATATTTTTCTATATAGAGAAAAATTATTTCCTATATTTTCTCTCGCGAAGAGCACCATAAATTCATTTCATTTTTTGTCTCATACGTAAATCGTATTATAATGAAAATTTCCTTCCGTCTCTTTAATTTCGCAGACTAGTATTTTTAGAATCTATCATTTTCTCGCCGCCGTCTTTACGATATGCTAGGCACTTCACACCCGTTGCGTAATCTTCTCTTTCACATAATCCTCTCTCCAGAACGAAAGCGAGAAAATAAATTACGATTCTGGCAACATTTCAGATCGCGTACATTGAATTTATATCGCGCGTCATACTTTTGCGATATAACGTTACGCACATTGCTGCATTTTCTATTTTAACGCATTTACATATCGCGTGCGTGTGCGCGCGGTATGTAGCCGTGTCCGAGATTGTATATTAATGAGAGACTCTCGTGGTTCTCGAAACACGTTACAGGTCCTTGACGGTGATAGCCTTCGACGGTCACGTATACTCTCTCAAACTTATCCCGAGCTCGGTATTCGTGTCCTTCTCTCTTGCCTGCGCGACCGAATTGCCGGCCGGATTATTGCTGACGTTGCTGCTGGACCGCTGGGGTCGCAGATTTTGCGGATTTATCACTCTGGCTATGACCAGCCTCTTCAGCTTCGCCGAATTGCTGTTGCAGTCAAGTGAGCGCGCAAAATTTTAACCAAAATCAAACGGCGCGTTTCATGTACACGCGCGCACATGACTTATTTGCATCTTTCACTGTTATCGTTTTTTTTTCTTTTTTTTCAGTCGCAGCGAAACTAACGATGTCGGTGCTGTCGCGATTTTGCCTGAATATGGCGGCCAACGTGGGTCTTCAGTATGCCGCTGAATTACTGCCGACGCCCATCAGAACGCAAGGCGTTTCGTTGATCCATATTTTCGGCATAGTCGCTCATTCCGTTGCACCCTACGTCGTAGACAGCGTAAGTATCTTTTTTTTTTAGAAGTGGAAGTTTCTCTGATAACTTTATTTTCATATTCTGCTGTGCCGTAGATAACAAATTTATTGTACACAGATCTCTCTTTTGCTAAAGTTGACTAAAATCAATCTGTTATGTAATAAAAATCAACTTATTAAATTAATATAGTTATACTATAATAAGTATTTTACATATTATATTATATTAAATAATTAATTATATTAATTATCATAATTATATTTTAATTATTATAATTAATGAACAATTTTCTTTAGAAAGAGAAAAAGTTTGTTTTTACACAATTTTGAAATTCTATATAGTTTTTGCAGAAGCTTTAAAGTCGCGTTAATTCGTCATCATTTCAATTAATCGTTTCAATTGTTTCAGGCTAAGATCTGGGACGGATTGCCGATGATGATCATCAGCATGGTCGCCATCGTGGGCGCTACATTAATATTGTTCCTGCCGGAGACGCTCGGCCGCGATCTTCCGCAAACTCTACATCAGGGAGAGGAGTTCGGCAAGGATCAGAAATTCTGGACGCTGCCTTGCTGCGACGGCTCGTACCCGAGTCGGCATCGACATTATCATACGCGCGAGATATAGTCCGTCAATTTTATTACGTAATTTTATTCCCAATAACGTAAGAGCGCCACGAGGACGGGATCGTTTAATCGGGAAGTGTTTAGTGGCACGTACTAACTCTGTTTGTCTCAGTAACTGTACTGTTCTTTTTATCTCACTCAATAAAAATTACAGAGGTCAAATTAATTCGCAACCGTTTTACGGGATATATATTTTCTTATATAGGTTTTACCACGTACGAGATATCCTTCAGAATAAATGTGTCAAAATAGAATTTTATTTTTTGACGGAGAGTCAGTGAACACACACGTAAGGAATGTACAAGTACTTTTCGTTTTTATCTTATACTATTATTTGTCTTGTTACTTAGTTTTTACTTTTTTTTTTTTTTTTTTTATAGAGCGAGTTTTATATCATAGCCGTACAAAGTTCTCGTGTGACTTTGTCTTCGGTTCAAATTTTCAATTTGATAATAAATCTCAGAAACGAACCTTATCATTCTTAATGATAATAACAAAAATGATCGTTCTCAGTCCGCATTGTGTTTATTTACAATTTCCTCTCTTCGGATGTGTGTCTGTGAATCCACTTCGTTTCTTCGTTGCTGACAATTGTACAATAATTCCTTAATAACGATTCTCTTGATGATGCATCAAGAAATCAACACAGAAATAATCGTTGAATTACAATCGTTAAATATCTCTTTATGTAATAATACGCGTTATTCGTTGTTGAAATTGGCTAAATTTAGAGGCACGCGATATTTGCGCGATTTCTGTTTCCAGAAATATACGCGCGTAGTCTAAGAGATAAACAAATCTCATCGAACTCTCAGTTCTTCTTGCGTCGCGTGATGACGATCTCACAACCGATATAGAAAAATTATCAGCGAACTCACTACCGTGATGTTTGTTCAAATTATGACACAGGAAAATAAATTTCACACATATTCACCGCTCGCATGTTGCGAGGAGTAATCGATCCGAGTCACGACGTGCATCGCGAATAAAAATTATCATCTAACAAAGATAATCTATTTTCTCAGAGTGTGCGTTTTGACACGCATTCGCGCTCACGTCCGTTGCGCGTACATTCCGCCGCGCGCGCGCGCGCGCGTGAAATTTCACATCAAAATGGGATCCTGACGTTCTCTCTTACGTTGTCTCTCTTTGTACTTTGCACTGCGTTATCGTTACACACTCGTTGCTCTGCGTGTCTATCTCGCGTTGTTATATAGTTTAACACCTAAAATCACACACGCGGTTACCGCGCGATATTTACAACGATTTGGCAAATTTTTTTCAACGTGATGTACGAGAACACGGGTGATCGCTATAATCTGGTGGAGTCGATGGTCTGAATACTGCCGTGGTGGAAGCCCGCATTCGTCATGCCCTCCTTCTGCGTGTTCTTCCTCAGCGATTTCTTCAGTCGCGGACTTCTGTCAATTTTTCAAAAGCGATCGAGTTTGTGAGAATTGTTATTTATTTGTACATGTACACTTATATATTGTAATATTAAATATATATATATATATATATATATATACGTTGAATAATATAAATGTAGAATTATTATTATTTAAATTTTTATTTTTTTCTTACTTGTCCGATTCTCGTAAATAAAGAATTCGCTAAAATACTTACGAGGATATGCAGGGGATCCACCAGAAGTTCTGCTCTTTACCGAAGTCGTTACCTTCCTGCAGACTCTGCGGCATCTCCTGGTCCATGGTCTCCGGTAACGCCAGTGTCAACACCGCGCTCACAAAGGACAAAAGGCCGAGAACTATCAGCGGCAGAGACGGATCAACGTCGGCCTGTGAAGCGACACGATTTAATATCGAGATATTCTAAACCGCGCGCTTTGATATCTTTCTCGCAACAAACAGACAAATAACAGACCGGCATCGCCGGTCACACGCGGAGAAAAATATTTCGAGACTCTCGTATCTCTCGAAATCACTCACCAAGTAGATTACGTAAGGTCCGATAATGTGAGCGAAGTAACCAATAATATGAATCAGAGACACACCCTGCGCCCGCACCACGGTAGGCAATAGTTCAGCCGAGAATTGGAAACCGATATTTGCGGCGACGTTGACACCGAGGCGCGCCAAAATCGCCATGGCGACGGTGATTACACCTGGAACATTCCCGAGTTATTTGAGTTATTCGACGTGTGCCAAAAAAATAATGCTTCAACGATTTTACTTTTCTCAATGTATCGCGACAAGTAAAAAAAACGAAGCTAAAACTTCTGTGTGCAATTTGTTTGAGCAATTTAATTTTCAACTTACCGGCGGGGGTGGCGAGGGCGATGAAAGAGAAAACGCCGCACATAAACATGGAAGCGAAGCCCATCCATCGTCTGCCCCATCTGTCGAGGAAGATCGCCAGCAAAATCGCCGCCGGAAGTTCGGTCATCGCGGCCAAGGAGAACGACGTGAACACGTCGGGATCCAGTAGCTTCATGTTCCACACGTGTCCGTCAAACACCCACACCATCAGAAGCCTAAAATCCAATTGTTCGATCAGCTGCGTGTCGAAAACGGAGTGTAAATAATAAATTCAATTCAATTCGCTCACCAGTAAACAATAAGTACCACAGTGATACGAGCCAGACGAGGTAGTTTGAAGAGATCCAGCACGGTGTATTGATTGTACGACTGATCCCTCTCGATCATGGCTCTGCAGCTCTTCTCGAATTCGTCGAACACCTCCTGCTTCACTTCTTTCCCGTTGACTTTCGCGAATTTCTTCAGCATCTCGATCGCCTTGTCGATCTTGTTGTTCATAATGTACCATCTACAAACAGACACACCCAGGCCCATCGTCAGCGTTGTTGACTATTGAAATATACACAATTATACAAATATACACTCTGCAAAGAATTTTACTTTACAGAAAAAATTTAAATTATAAGGATACGAGATATTCGATAATGAAGATATCAAAGAAGAAGATATCAATTACCGCGCGCTTTCCGGAATGATCCACGGACCGACGAATGCGACAACCATCGGAAAGGCGGTGGCGACGCTCAAAATCCTCCAATCCGCGATCCAATACGCGATCCACGGCAGAAGACCGGCGGCGGCGGCGAAGTAAATTCCAAAGGACATGTTCGCCACCAGAGTTCTGTACTTAGGACCGACGTACTCGAGCACTGCGATTGCAGAGAATTGTTATTTGTGAATTGTATCGCATCTTCGATAATACGTACCGATGATGAAGAGAACGTTGAAGCAGTTGTCAAACGACATGCCGACGATCAGTCTCGCGACGCAAAACGACCAGAAGCTGTTGCAGAAAGAGGTCGCGACGGATGCGAAGAATCCAACGGTGTTGCAGGACACCAGAGCCGGGATTCTGCCGTAATGATCGGCTATGTAGCCGAATATCAGACCGCCGATAATACTGCCGGCGAAGAAGGCCGACTGAGCCGCCGAACCGAGAAACGTTTTGTCGCAGACCCACTCGAGCTGGCAATACAACAAACAGAATCAATTATTACGCATATTATCGCAATTATTCACGTACTTACGCAATTAATAAGAAACACTCGTTAACGCGGCGAGAAAAGTGATCGTCATCAATCTCGTCAGTAAAACTCACCACCTTTTATATCTATATCTTACATCTGACATTTTTATCAATATTTATTTCTCACAAACACTGAGAAAACGACTTCTTCAATTAGTCTCGGCGCCGGAGGAAGATAATAAGAGGATTTACGCATCAGAAAAAATAACATCGCGTTTTTTTTTTTTTTTTTTTTTTATTTATATTTAATTACCTCGGCGGCGATCGAGGCGTACGGTATCATCGTGTGATTGAACTTCCATCCCTGTCGGCACGGTATCTTCGGCCACGACATATTGGCGTATCTGACTCCCTGTTCGAGCAACTCGGTGTAATTGACATCGTACATGTAGCATCTCGAGAACGGCGTGGCGCTCTCCAATTGCAGCTCCTCGCTCGTCGCCGGTGGTATCGCTAACGAAATTCTGCGAACACGCAAACGAGCTCTCATTTAGTACGTAATTCACGGCGACTTTGGTCTCTCTCTTTCAGTTGTATCACTCGATTAAAAATTTGCGACTTGTCACAGAAGTGATAAAACTGAAATTGAAAGAGAACTACAACTGCGTCACAAATACATACCTATGTGTGTGACTTTAAATGTTTCATAATTACATATCTGTTTTTCTTTGTTATCACGGATCTTTCATTTTTCTAAATAGATCAGGAATTCCCTCGACAATTAAAATTTTTGTTTTGTGGAAAACTTTGGACGTGACTAAACCGTAATGTAACTGGATCTGAATCACACGAGCGCGATCGCGTGATTTCTGGATTTTCCTCTGCGACAGTTGCGTCAGTACATGATGTATGCCACGTTGAAAACGCTAAATTAATCCGAGATTCTAACACTCGTTGATGTTATCAATATAAATGCAATCAAGTAATAATTACGGATATTATTTAATTATTATTGTTGATTTTAATTAGCGTATAAAAATTGTATGTTGATGCAAAAGAGTATGATGATTTTATCTAGCAAAATAATTGTGGAAGACGATAATTATCGCGAACACGATGCAGAAGCAAATTGAACAGATCGCGCGTACTGTACGTGTGCGATATTGATTATTGAAACCTTATATGTTATGAAAAAAAAAAAAAACAACTATGATTATGTATACCTCTGTTTACCTGTACGCAATCTTTGCGCCTACACATCAAATGAAAAATGTAACATAATTCAACGTTATTATATTTTTTTTTTTCCGGAGAGACATTTTTTGCATGGGACAAGGACAAAATTATCGATCAATTAATGCGTAAGACTGGAAAATATTTTTCTCGCATTTTGATGTTTTTATTTAGCGCTATTTGTCGATCGAAAATATAACATTATTACGTATGTGTGTCGTTCGTAACTTTTGATTGCCGATATGTAACAAAATAATCGCGATATATCGTTAAAATAAGAATATTTACTTCGCGCTAATCGAGTTTTTATTAGAAGCTCGTACGTATGTAAATAAGAATAAAAGTTTTAGTATTACCAGAAGTAGAAACAGAATATAAATTGAACATATATATACATATATATGCGCGCACAAAAAAACCATGTCTACCAGTTTTATGTTCGCGCCTTATTTCTTTTGTGTGTAAAATTCCAGGAAATCCAATTGTACAAGACTCTGTTTAAAAAAAAAAACTTTTTTTACGTTTCACAAATGCACGATTAAAGATTGAAAATTTCTCGTATTGTCTCTCGTTTTGTAAGCGTGCATAAGTATGTACGTATATTTTATGTATTGTATCTCGACGAACGTAATTTCATCGTATAACTCACTTCTCGTGGTCGGTGAGATTCCAGTATTCCAGCTCGGGTATTGAGCACCAGTGTTCGGCAGGCACGAGAGTGATGAAGAACTGCGCGAAGTACAAAAAGGCGTAGACGAAGGTAAACGGCAGGAGCAAAATGAAGAGGAACAACTGGTATCTGCTGGCTTCGCCGACGTACGGTAGAATGTCGTCGAAGGTCTCGATCTTGACGGGACCGTTGCCTTCCTCGGCTTTCGTGGGCTCAACCATGAGCGTCATTGTGGCGATATCTACAAAAAAACAAAAAAAAAAAAAAATTCGCTTATGAAAATCTCGCGATTTTCTCATACAGATTATTGCGCACAATTGATGCGAATAAGAAGAAGAGAAAACGCGACTAAATAATCGAATATGTTAGTGTCTTTTGTTTACGACTTATTATTTACACATATACATATGCTGAATTATTAATTAGATGAGTTAAATAAAAGAAACACAAGAGAAATGCAAATCGCTATGATCCGATCGCGATTATACGATCGCGATAGCTCGTTTTAAAAATGAGTCGCTTGACTGAAAATTTACAGTATTTTCTTCTCAAGTAATGTTGCTATATTACAGGAATTAATGCGAGGTAATAAACACGAGGCAATTATGTATATTGTCCTCGAGATACGTAACGAGATGAAGGCGTGCGTTACAAAGTCATACTGCGTTAATCGTATACTTCTCGAATACTTAAAAATTCAAACACGTGTGTTGCACGAGAATCGATCCGCGGACGCTCTCGCGCGATCGACGCTCTGAATCCGATTGAATGTCAGTCCCCTCCTCCCCTCCCAAAAAAAAGACACAGTCTCATCGGCATCTCAAAGTGTTCAATTCCGCTAAACTTACGAGCCGCAAAGTTTTCTTTCTCTTTGACACGCGCGATCGAAGAAATCGCACCTTTGTGCTAAAATAAAATATATCATGCATCATATGATTACAACAATGAATCAAAAACCTACGTAGATGAATTGAAAACATTTTCTTTACAACGCGATGCCGACCGTTAATGTTATTTCGATATCGCGCGTATTGATGTATAATCACGATTTTTATCTCTCTTCCGCTAATTTACTCGAATATATACGTTTGTTTCGTTTCTTCCGCGTTTATCGACTTTTAATATCTCGCAGTTGCTTCATTAATCTCAGACGTTTGCTTCTTTTTTTTTTCATAAAAGTCTTCCTGCTGTTATTTTTTTTTTTTTTTGCTCTGCTCATTAATAAATCGTAAGACGTGGTTTACGTCTCGTTTCAGCTGATCTGCCAACCGTAATATTGTGATGTTTTCTTGTTGCAGTGGTCTGTGCGTCAAACAAAAATTATGAGCATGAAAAATATATCTGCTTTAATTAATCAATGTAATGAGAATGTAACACAAAAAATGTAATGAGAATGTGAATAAAAATGTGATAGAATCGCGCGCACAAACGTGAAAAAACTTCGAGAACGAGAGAACACGTGTCGGAATCAACACGTTGAGTTTTGTAAAAATTTTCTATTGCACACCGCGTCTTCTCGTATCATCTGTGCAAACACACGCACAAACAACAGTTCGAAACAATTGGAGAAGCAACAAAAGACCATTGTGTGTGTAGATGCACGTGCGAAGAAACTTTAACGACACTTATTTCTATTTCTCTTTCTCTTTATATTTATGCATACATAACAAAAAAATGCTCGATTTACCTGTCGATTTTTTTCCTTCCACGTGCGGAAAACGAAGTCGCAAAAACGGACTCGCGCGCGCGCACAGGAAATTGACAATTCACGAGAAAACTGTCAGGGAAAAATTCACTTTATCAAGATCAAAAGAAGAAGATACAAAGAAATTGCAATCTAGCTGCGCGATGCGTTCCGGTGAATTCCTCACGACTCTCGATCGCACGCACGTATCGCGCGCGCGATTGATCGCACGGTCTCGTCCGCGCGCAGGAAAAGCACGAATTTTACAAATCGTTAATTTTCTAACGTGTTATGCCGTCGATCAATCGACACGCATTTAAACACACTACATTATCGTTTTGAGAAAGCACGTATATAAACTGTCGGAGGTGCAACCGACTGGTGGGGCTTTATAGCCTTCCGCCGACAGCAAAATTGCGCTCTTCCCCACCTTGATGGACCAACAACGGCGGCGACGGCGGCGGTGGCGGCGGTGGCAACGCCGTAGATCGGATATACGCGCACCGTATGAATTGCCTTCTCCGTGACGTCATCGAAAAACGTGCGGGGATTTCACCATTTTGCATGTACACAGTCTTTTACGTGATTCTTTCCCTTTCGCAAACGTCATCACACGGCGGCTTGCGTCCGCCGACTTTCCGCGGGAACGCCGCACATACAGGTGTGCATAGGCTCGTGCAGAGAAGCCGGAGAAGAGCACGAAGTGCGTCTGTAAGATATCTTGGAATTTAAAAAAACGATGGTTGCAAGTTTCAACAACTTTCCTGTTCGAATTTGTTTTACTGACTCTCTCTCTCTCTCTCTCTCTCTCTCTCTCTGTGTGTGTGTGTGCGTGTGTGTGTGCGTGTGTGTGTGTGTGTGTGTGTGTACGTAGGTAAATACAAAAAAGAAAATTCAAATCATTGGAAATTTTTTTAAATCTTCAAGATTTGAAAAATGTCACGATAATTAAAAATAATTAATAAGTGTTATATAATAAAATATATTTATAATTAAATTTTAAAATATATTTATACTTACATTTAAAAAATATATATTTAAAATATATTTATAATTACATTTTAAAATATATATAAATTGATTAATTATACGAATTGAATCGTCTTCAACGTCCTGGTTTCTATGTAATAACGTTGAATTAAGAATTGAATATAAACATCAATGTTAATTAATTTGCGCGCAAAAACATTATTCGATCGAAGAAATAACAGAATATTTCGTTTATTCAGGTGTTCCTAGTAAGGTGGATTACGATATTATGTAATTTCGACGGAGCAGAAGCTACATGTATTATAAACTTAACTGTATTATAAACTTGTTAGAACTCGTTTAACGTACTCTAATTACGATTGTATTTTAAATATTGATAGCAAAAAGCGTAAATTACGAGTGAGATATGTAGACGCTCAGTCTGCAGAGAAGCGGATAGATCAAGAAATGTACAATATAAATTGTAGGAAGTTAATTATTCATGTAAATCTATGATAAAATTATTCGTCTGATATTTTCGAAGCGATGTACGTTACGATAACGAGCACATTTGTGAGAATTGTGCAAGTAAATGATGTTAGTTAAATGATTCTATCAAACTAGTCGAATTAAGATACGTGTAATTGTGAGAGCGCGTATTCGCGTGTAAAACAATAATAAAAAAAAACAAAAAAAAACGAACAAACGCGATACATACATAATTTCGTAAACAACAATTAATTGCCAGAAAATGCTAGTGTCAATCTCCGGCGTGATTGCGCGTCGGTGATAAACTTTTGCGATAACAACGCGGAATATTACTCGACGGTTCTTCTTCTTCACACATTTTCTTTTCTCGGGGTGTTACTTTGCACACACAAACTTTTAAATCCTACTTTACGCTCTCGCGAAGTTCTATCGCGCGCTGAGAACACGATGCGTTCGTAATAACGCAGAGATTTTTTTTTGTTAAGAGAGAGATATATATTATTGGTTGTAAGTCTGAAAAATACGTGAATAAAAAACCGAGTTTAAGTAAACACGCGTATTGTGTAATATCGATCGAATATTTCCTCAGACAAGAACGCATTTTATTCACGAATTATGGAAGCGTCAGTATTAGGAAGCGTACTAAGTAAAAAACAACATATATATGGCTGTTAATTAAGCATCTGATGCATACTACAAATTACATCGTAATGATACGATTTCACTTCCGACGGCTGATTTGTGACACTCTGCTTTTTTCTAAACACAAAGATGCGAAGAGTCGTGACCTTGCTCTCGCGTATACGCGTCGGGAATTCCCGAAACCGGAATAGAACACCGGTTTTTGATGAAATCGATCGGAGGCACCGTCGAGGAAGATCTGAGAAAGACGTCGAGAGAGGTAAGGCCGCTAAACCGGTTAATGAAACTGACGCGACTCGGATGCTGCGCTGAAACCGGGTTTTCAACCCGAGAAAATATACGTCCGAGCTCGTTGTTTGTTTCGCGGGATAAAGAAAAACGTGTACGTAAAATGTCTTCGGTTAGGTCACGAAAAAAAACTTGAAGTATTCAGTAAAACGAGTTTCAAGTTTTTTTTCAAGTACGTCGTTACGTAATTTTTTTTTTTACACGGCCGTTTGAATTTCACACGATCGATCAGCGATGAATCCGTGCCTTTGTTTTTCATCCGATCGCACGAGAAGAGAGAGAGAGAGAGAGAGAGAGAGAGAGAGAAATTATTTACGCGCGATAACGTCACGTGAGAATTCTTCAGATTTCCTTTTCTTCTAAATGTCATCAAGCGCGTAAATGTGAATACATTTACGACAAATGCTATTTGATATTCATTTTTTATGATGTTTCATCATTGTGCAAGAACTCGATTCGATGTTTCTTAACAAGCTGTGTTTTTAGTATCTGAATCTAATCTTATAAATTATCAAACTCATAGTCAACAAGAAGAAATTTAATTTAAAAAAAAACGCTATAAATTTTGCGCAAAAGAACCAACTCTTCGGATTTTTTAAATGTGTATGTCTATAGGTTTTTTCCCAAATTAAATTTAACTTTCAGATTTAACTTGTAGAGAGCCTGTGTAGTGTTTTCATTATGTTTGTTATTCAATGTGAAGTTTTAAGAGACTCGTATTTAACAAGAATTGAATCTCGCTCGGCGCAAAGATTCGTCGCGATTAAATATTTATTACAAAAGTTTACTTGCTTTATACTTGGTACTACGAAAAATGCGCGATGTGGCATTCGCAAAAAAAAAAAAAAAACTATCCGTTCTATAATGCACGCCGCGATATATCGAAGCAACAAAATCGACATTATGTAAGTGACACTTCAATTGCCCCGTGTCACGATTCCGACACACACGGCGATATTAATCAAGTGAATTCGGCGCCGCCGGCGCTGTGAATTGAAGCGTCTGCCCGAAATGATTAAATTGTGACACGCGCGCGTGCGCGCACATTATCAATTTTTCTATATATACACACTACGCGCTATACTCGGGATGTATACACGTTGCGTAGAATAGACGATAAATTTCTTTCGTCCTTGCGACTATCGAAACAATTGTGATAATTGCGTAAAATGTTAAAATTTAATTAGTTGCTTAACTCAACCGTTTACGAGAGGATGCGCGATAACGACGACACGCAAAACTACTCGTCACTGTCCACAATGACGGTTATCTCATTACAGCGCATTACACGTATTACAAGTCCATTAAGTTGGACGAATGACACGCAGAAAACGATCGACGATATTGAAATAATCGCTGAAAAACGATCAGTCATTAACACACAGTCACCGACAAGAATAGAGAAAATTAAAAGTTTTTCTTTCCATCTTATTGTTTTTTTTGCTTTTTAATTAAAATATAAATTAATATCTCGGTAAAAATCTATCGATTCGTAATGTCAAAAGTATTTGTCGAGATATGTATCGCGCGAGAAGTGTAATTGCTCCCCGCAAGCAAAAGACGTCGTGAGAGCGAATCACTCGCGAACTTCCGCGAGCTTCATGAATTGAAGCAAGGCCGTAAGCTGCGGTTCCAAGGTTGATGCTTTTTTATTATTATCAGCGCACAAAGACGGCGCGCGATCCTTTACGGTTTTATCCGAACAAAACTCGCGTACGTCGGTGACGTTAACGATTACTTGTAATCTCGAGCAAGGTTTCGAATTTCGAGCGATACATCATTAGACGTCGATCAAACTCGCCGCAACATGACGACGCGTGTGTGCGTAACGCTGGAACGTTTCTCTGTTACTCCCGCGTCTCGTCGGTTTTGTCTTGCTGCTGCTGCTGCAAAAAAGTTAGACGGTATATAGCATGTTGCTGTCGACAAAGAAAAAAGAAACGCGATAAAGCATTCAAGAAAACGAGTTTCAACTTTTTTTTCGCATCGTTACGTACCCTAACATTTGTTTTTCCCCACGACAACTTAATTTCATTTCAATCGGATCTCCGAGAAGAGCGTCTTTGTTTTTTGCATCTTGCCGCACGAGCGCAAGTGACGTTTTTCTATCGGTGACAACAAAATACAAAAGCAATACGCAAAACCTCGTTCGCAAAACCGAGTTTCTTCCAATTGTTTGTTAACTCTAAATAATTGAATTCATTGCGATCGAACGAGATACAAGTAATTAACGTGTGTCGAAAGGTAAGCGTCGGATAAGCACGTGAGCGAATGAACTTCGCTAAGGTTACACACATAGTTTCAACTTTTTTCTATTGTATAAAAATATAAACATATTGTCGGTTTGCAAAAAAGATCCAGATCGAGGTTAATCACATCTGGTGAATATAAAAAGATTTCTGCACATACAATCTTGATATTTTTTTCATCTATGTTTTTTTGTTTCATGAAGTTTTAAAAGTCATAGTTTTTTGATCGAGCTGGTAAAGCAACTCCGTGCGCTCGGATTGTTCGCGTGATGAACTCTATATTACGCGTATGTAAGCGTACGATAGATGTAACAATTTGTCTTAAAAGCTTCTCTTGCAATTATCCCAACAGACAAAGATAAACACAAAGATAACGTTTTTTATTGTCACCTGTGGGGGGAACCAGAGGAATTTTTTGATTGAAAGTCACGCGCGTAATTTACGACGGTAACGTAATTTGAGCGCGGTTATTTTTGCCTATCAAATAATCCTTCTAACTGGCTCGCCTAGATTGCAAGAAGAGGAAAAGCAATTAACGAGACGAAATCACAAGTCATTAACGGATTTAGATACGAGGTTCCGCGAGACAAGTACGGTGATGACAACTATTAAATTTTGCGAAGTAAAAGTGCGCGCGGGGACGAAAAATATCACGCAATCTGGATCTGTTCTCTAAACTCTCACAACCGCTCCCGTCGTTTCTTTATCTCCGTTCTTTTAGGAAGTCCTTGAAGGTGTCAATGCAG